TCATGAGTTGAACCTTTTGATAAATCACAAGTCCAAAAAAGACCTTCTCAAATCAAAAAGGCCTTTTTTGGACTTGTGATTTATCAAAAGCTTTGATCACATAACCGAAGAAACTTTGCAATAATAAACTCCTCATTCAAGAGATGAAGCATCAGAGAAATCACATGTCCCAAAAATGACCGTCTCAAATCGAAAATTTGATATTGGACTGGAGATTGTTCTGAAGCTTCATCTCATAACTGATCAAACCTTTAAAAAAAATCACAAGTCCTCGAAAGGTTCATAAGATGAACCTTTTGATAAATCACAAGTCCCAAAAAAGACCTTCTCAAATCGACAAGGTCATTTTTTGGACTGGTGATTTATCAAAAGGTTTGTTCACATACTCGATTAAACATTTGAACTCAACATGACAAGAGGTTGAGTTCAACAACTTGCCATTTCTCATGCTCAACTCTGACATGATCGATCATGTTGAACTCAATTTAACTCAAGTTTTCATTAGAGATGACAACGGCATTTTGAAGCCATAATATTTCAAGCAGCGCAAACCAGATTTAATATAATGAAATGTTGAATAAGTCGACAAGGACCTTTTGAAACCCAATCGATGACAAAACAAGTTCTTGGAAATTTTTTGTTCAACAAGAAACAAAGCACACATTTTTAAACGGAAAACAAGGTAGCATATGAATAAGTAAGTCTGGAGACTGGCGATACCCGCTAAACAATCATGACACAATCTACTCTTCTTCTTCGTCTTCCAAGCGAGTATTGTAACGATTCCAATAGTGGCGAGTAGTGTACCCACTATGTGCGATTAGAGGTTGCAATAAAGTGCGAATCATGACTCGGGCCGCTAGTAAAAGTAAGTATTCGGACTTGTCGTCTTCAAAAAGCCATCGAGCTTCTCGTTTCAATCAAGCCTTCATACAGTGAAAACCATTTTCAATGGGGTTCATGTCGGGTGAATAGGCTGGCAGATAAATGACTAGGATTCCAGCTTGTCGGCACAGCTCGAGAATCCTACCTCCGTGATGAACTCGAGCGTTGTCCATTATTAACACCGAGTTGCGCGCTGGATATGGGTTCATCACTGGGAGCTAGAAATGATGAACAGGAGAAAAAAGAATATAAGAAAGCAGTTCAATGAAGCGGACCATAAAGGAAGACTTACCAAGTCATGCTTGAGAAAAAGCTCCACATCAATCCTGCGGACTGGGCCTTCGATGACGGTTCCAGCTATCATTCCCTGCTCACTGACTGCCGGGAGTAAGGTCCAATGAGACCGCTCGGTTTGTCGCTTATCTCGAAGAGTTTGAGTCCCACGCTTAGCATAACTGCGTTTCCGTGAAGCATCCCTCCCCACGACTCTGCTTTCATCTGGAAGTCAAAACAAAAATAAGTTCGCAACCAAACCACAAAAACAGTGCAAATGAAGAACATACCAATGAAAACCAAACACTCGGGTGGAATTCCAGCCACCCGCATCATAAAATTGGTCCTTTCTTCGAGTGACTGGTTTGGATGAACACCTCTAGTCACTAAGAGTGATAAACCTAAGCGGGTGTGAATTTCTCGAGTGATGGTTGCACGAGATATATCCAAACCGGTCAAACTTCGGAGCTCTGTTTGCAACTCGTCTAAGTAGATCAAGGGGCGGTCTACCACGAGGTCGTAAAGGATCGCAAGATTCGCGTCGGTCAAAGCATGGGGGCGACCACGAGCGTTGTATGTTGCAGGGTTGGCGACGACACAATTGGTGAGACAGAAAAGGTGTTTCCATCGGCAGATTGAAACCGCGGAAATTGAAGTGCGTAATTGTAGGTTGATATCATCGAGAGGAACGTTCTCCAACGCCAGCTGAGTCGCCAGAAGCTTGATCGCTTCGGAGTAAACGACAAAACCACCCATGATTTGGGTATAAAGCAAACGGAAGAATTGGATACGGTTGAGAATGAGAGAATGGGATGTGGATTGACGAAAAAAAATCCTGGACAAAAGGGGGGAGAAAGGGAGATGATGGGGTTCACCCCAACCCCAACCAGAAGAGAAATTCGAACCAAAAAAAGAAATGATAAAAAAAACCAATTCGAACAAAAAAAACAAATGATAAAAAAAAGAGAAAAGCCACAAAAAAAAAACCCATCAAGATGGATGATCTTCTGCAGGTCTCTGCAGATCATCTGACGTGCAAGGGCAAAAGTGACAGGCCCGGCCACTTCACTTTTGGCCGGTGCTGCGCTGGTGCACGGGCCAGCTTGCGAGTTTTCGATTTTCCGGATTTCAACCTTTTTGAAATCTACTGTACCTCATCACAAACATCATTGATGTGTGTCATGATTTGATGTCTTTTTGAGAGAACAGGTGATTCCGAGTGGGTGGTGAGTTTAGATTCAGGAGCTTGAGTGTAGAGAGATTGGCAGTGCGATCGTAGGTAGAGTTCAACCACGAATATAGGGGTTCTCAAAGTTGGCCCGGTTTCAAGAAAACCCAGTTGACCCGGTTGCTTTTTGGCAGTAACCTTGTGTATCGAGTTGACATGTATTGACAGATCACAGCCAAAAAGTCAACTGGGTCAACCGGGTTTTTACAAACCGGGCCTACTTTGAGAACCCCTTATGAAGACGAATAAGGTTGTTGATGTGACGGAAATATCAAAAATCAAGTTTTGAGAGTCGAAATTCAAAACTGAAAATTGAAAATTGAAAATTGAAAACAGGTGGCGGGGCCTCCTGTCTCAGCTTCCGTAAAGACATTTGCCACGCCCAAATTTGAATTTTCAATGTGATTTTGGGCCAAAACTCGCCAATCTAATTACATAATGGAGCCAAAAGGGCGAAATATCGAGTTTTGACCTGTTTTGACACAATGGACCTACAAATCCGGAGACTCCCGAGAGTGTATCTCAGAACGAACTGAGTTTACAGCCCCCGAAATGGGATTATCGTGTGAAGCGAAGCATTTCCAATAAATCTCGCTTCCATATCAATGGTTAATTGTACGAGATCACGTGTAACGGCGTGCGCTATGGAACCTTGGTCTCGACACTGGATGGTGCGGGTGCCTTTCTGGAAAAAGAGCAATTGTACATGTTACGTTATTGACACAAACGTAACATTCAGTCATTCAGATTCAGCCACGATGGTGAAGGTTGGAGATGCACTTTACTCTCAAGTCAAGAAAAAATGACTTCGACATGAACTTTGACCCTACTCGAATCCTTCATGGAGCGATTGATCAAAATCCAACAGTGGTTCATCATGATCAGCAGCTTTGTGCTCAGAGATCAGCTCGAGTTCGAGTTGACCCTTGCTCGATTTCCTTTCACTTGAGATGCCCTACAGTCAAACCTGTGCAAATGCATACCTGCGCAGATGCATAACCTGTGACAATGCATAGAAAAATTCCTAGATCTTGATACTTTTTACCGCCAAACTAGACAATGGAATTGCATAACCCGTGAAAATGCATAGGAAAAGTCTTCCACCCAAATTATGCAATTGCACAGGTTTGACTGTATATCATGCCAAAGGCTATATCTTTCGCGTGCACGCAGGCTGGAGTTTTTATTTTTGTTATTTATGGCGTTCAAACATGCGCAAGAAATTTGCAAGTTGCGAGAAAGTTCTGTGCAAGTTCTTTTAAACATCTTGCATAGAACTTCCACAAAACTTGCAGACTTAAGAAAGTTATGTGTGAACCTAGGCTTCCCCGCTTCGAGGACTCAGTTTGCCCTTGATGAGATACATAAGATACATACAGCAGGGGGTTGTGAAAAAATTAATTAAGCAAGATCTGTGCAAGATTTCTTGCACGGATCTTGCACGGATCTTGCACATCGGTTTTGCAAATTTCTTGCACATGTTTGAACGACATAATTGTTCAATTTTTTCGTGCTGTGCCGGGTGCGGGAGTAACCGAAGGGCTGTGAAATTTTGTAGCGGCTACTGCTACCCACTACAAATTGGCTACTTACGACACGCAGATTTCTCCATTCGGAATTCGTACTGCTGACTTCACACGATGCCAGCCAAAGCAGACCATGCCATTCTAATAGGTCATTGACAACGCGGATACGTCATGACATACATGGTACGTAGTGGAGGAATTGAAGTTCACTCTTTCTGTGCAATCATTTTCACCAGTCTATTGAAGTAGAAATGTTCCTTGATTCTCGAGATGATTTTCACAATCGATTTTCTTCAAAGCCTGCTGATCTCAAGAGCACCTTACCATGAAAGCTACATCTTGATAATATCGCTGGTCGGTTCCGCGATGGACCATGATCCGTGCGAGCCCATATGAGGTCTACAATCAATCGGCCTTTGAGTATACCCTTAGGCTTGGATATATGTGGCCGGAATAGAGACATACTAGCAAGGATTTCGATTTGGCCAAAGTTCTGGTTGACTATGTAAATCAAGATTTGTGGCGAGTTTGTTTCTTCTGCAATTATCAACACAACCGTGTGCCATTAGATCTCTCCATCAGCTCACCTTGATCCAAAGTGTGTTCACAAAAGCCCATCTTCAGCGAGTTGGGTGACCACTGATACGGTAGAGTTTGTATTGCTGAGTTTGCGCGCACCGTACAATTAGGTCTCACGGTTGGACAAATCCGATGTCTGCGTGTCTAGAAATGGTTACGTAGCAGATAGTAGCTGCTACTCAGTAGCAACTACAAAATTTCACAGCCCTTCCAGTACTCTGCCGGGTGCCCTGCTGTGCCGTGGTAAACTCCAAGTGAGCTGTATTTTTCAAATGTAAGGCTCGAAAACGCTCAAAAAACTGAAATGTGAATTTGAAAGAAACTTGCGAGAGACTTCTTTCTTTAAAGTTGACAATCGTGTGATCAATCACGACTTCCCACTTACATAATTTCCATCGATGCCTCCCGACTTGAATTCTCAACTCTAGAGACACCGTTTCCTCCTTCGTTTTACTTATCAACTTGTATACTGCCGAGTCGCCGACCACCTACCATCTTTCATCGTTACTATGCTCAGTGTTCTGAAGGTCTTGTCTTGCTTGACTGCCTTCAGCGCATGCTTATCCGGCTTTTCTCAAAGTAACCCATTCCCTCATTCAAGATCACTTCCTCGAGCGAACCCACCCCCTCAATCAAATAATCAAGCCAAGGTTCCCCAGCAGGCTCCCCCAACGGCTAGCCAGCAGGGCACCTGTCAAAATCTCATTCAGCGACGCGAGTGGCGAACATTGTCCGCGGCCGAGAAAGCGGCTTACATCAAGTCAATGAAATGTTTGACGACCAAGCCGTCCCAATTGCTCGGAAAAGGGTACAGACGATTTGATGACTTTCAATATGTTCATTGTGAATCGAGGCGAACAGTTCACTTCGGTTCGAAGTTTGGGCCCTGTTAGTATCTGTCGCGCTCTTTCTGCTCTTCATTGACTCGTGTCATAAATGGCATTCTGACCTGTGTGATATAGTTCATCATCATTTTATGCATCTGTGGGAAAAGGTACTACGCGAAGAATGTGGCTATAAAGGAGGAGTTCCTTATTGGAATTGGGAGTTAGATGCCCATGATTTCCCATCGTCTCCGATCTTTTCATCTGACCCTGAGGTGAGTGACTAAATAGCCTTTCGAACGAGACATCTCTTCGCCTTTGATTCCTGAAGGTCCGAATTGATGTTTTCTGCTCTAGAGTGGGCTGGGAACCAATGGTAAAAATTTCACATACGATCCAGATAATTTGGGTACGTTCCGTCCACTCTTTTCGGGCGCAATGATGCACAATCCTGTTCTGACCGCGGGCTGTTTCTCGAGTTTTTAGGGGGAGGTATCGTTTCAGATGGCGCATTCGCGAATTGGCAGATCCTTTACCCTGATCGCCAGTATCTTGAACGCAATTTCTTACTTCCCGACGTTTTTGCCATGGAGTGAGTCTGCACTTTCGCTAGCTCAGAATGATTGTGCGTGAATTTTACTGACCTTTTGCCAATATGGGTTTTCAAAATCCAATCACAGAAATTATACATGGGGCTCTCAGTATTAGTACGTAGCAGTCGTTACATTGACAATATCTGCGTCTGTCGTCGGGTTAATGTTGACCCGTATCATTTTGCTTTCATGAAACCAGTAATAATGCTGCAATGAAATATGTACAATCGCAGACCACTTACATCAAGTTTATCAACGCGCTCGAGGTGCGTCAATCCTGTTTAGGCATCAGCAAGTCTTTCTTTCCTGGCTCACAACACCGATGTACGTATATCAGGGACTCAATCCGTCATTAAGTGACGAACTCTATCCCGGTCCACATGGCATGATACATCAACTGCTAGGTGGAGTACGTATGCTTTCTACTATTTTTCTGGAGCCTTATCTAACCTGTTGACTTCCAGGACATGCCAAAGCTTGCATATGCAGCAAATGATGTGCGTTTTTGATTGCCTCATCAATTTGGTCACCTTCGAGAACCGCACTGATTCATGTCGCTGATCTTTTACAGCCGTACGTCGTTTGATGATCAATATACTTCAATTCGGAGTATCGTGTCCTCTGAACCAGTTTAGAGAACAATGTTCAACTGTTCTGTACGCTTTTTCAGGTTATTTTACGCAGTCCATGGTAATGTCGATGTAAGTTTATAGCTCTCGTCCTTCGTGTTTTGATACTGATCCCATATTCCCCGAAAAACGCAGAGACAATATGACATGTGGGTTCGTCAGGATCCTGATAAGCGGACTCTCGCTTTCAATGGCAACGTAAGATTTTGATAATCGTAGTTTAAACCAAGCTTGAAAAGCGTCCTTCCCTTACAAACACACCTTTCTAGAAAACCCCGGGGAATACACACAATGACGCGAGTCTGGACGATGAATTGGATTTTATGAAGCTTGCTCCCAATGTCAAAGTCCGTGATACGATGAAATGGCGACAACCGCCGTATTGCTACACATGTGAGTACTTCATTTCCTACACTACCAAATGGTTCTACCTTCGATGAGATAAACTCATTTTAACATCCTGCCTGATCTGCTCATCAACAAGATGTTTGAACGTGATGTCCAAAAGGATTGTACTTGTGGGCTATATATGCAATTCTTCTGCGATGGATGCGAAGCGTGTTGTGGTTTTGATTCCTTGCATTTATTTTAAGACAAACATTCGTTATTTTTACCTAACAGGTTAACACAGGACATTTGATTTTTTTTTCAATATACACAATTTACTTTTTCCCCAAACCGTCCTGTGTTGTTTAATATCTCTTCATCAAATGTGTTGGCCATGTGCGTCCCATTTTGTTCAGAAACTTGGGTTGAGGCATCCGCTCTCGAATTGCCCGTGAGCCCAATCTTTGATAGATTTCTTGCCTTATAGCACGCTTCCCAAACAAGTGTTGAGGGACTTTTGTGAAAATATGGTTTGCTTGACTCTTCTTTGGCTTTTTTATTCGATTCAGTTATGTTTTGTGAGCACATAGTAAAAGTTGTAAATATCAGGATGCTGTTGAGTCATTGAGCTCTGAAATTTCAAAGAAATTTGGTTATTGGATGAATCACACATAAAGAAGGAAATCCGATGTTTTTGAAAAAAATACATTCCTCAGTCGAGACCTTTGCCCGGTACCCCGTGACCTTAGCCCCAAACCCGGACTCTCTGATCTGCGTGTGATACTCGCCCTCAGCATCACACGTTGTATACATGCTTGCCTTCGGCGTATCCCATTCTTCTGTGAAACCATCGCTGTTTTCTATCCGTCGAATATCGATACTTCGCGTAGCAGGGCGCCGCCACAATGATGCAATCATTTCCATACCAAGGCATCAGCGTTTGAAAGCGGCATTACCGACGTGTTCATCTTGGTCTTACGAGACAATCCTAAACTTCCTATCGCCCTCATAGCGTTCGTCGCCATCCGGATCGACTGTCAAAAGCAGTGGTGTTAGCGACTTTAATCGTCGAACAACCTGCCTGGGATTGGGACCCACGACATCTGTCTTCATTGGTGTTGCTTCCGGGAGGACCCTCCCCACGTCAGGACAACATTCCTGATCAATGTGCTCAAAAAGATCATGGCTATACACTACGCCCGGAATGTTGCCATTACCGACGTATTCATCTTGGTCTTACGAGACAATCCTAAGCTTTCTACCACCATCATAGCGTTCGTCGCTATCCGGATCGACTGTCAAAAGCAGTGGTGTTGGCGATTTTAATCGTTGAACAACCTGGCTGGGATCGGGACCCACAACATCTGTCTTCATTGGCGTGGCTTCCGGGAGGACCCTCCCCACGTCAGGACAACATTCCTGATCAATGTGCTCAAAAAGATCATGGCTATACACTACTCCCGGAATGTTACTGCGATGGGTCGATGCTGACGTCTATAATCTGTCAGCCTGAGTTCGGCACGACCACAGGTTGTCTCCTCCCACAATTCACGGCAGTCAGTACGTACAATCGTTTCTGGAATTTCATTCCAGCAAACGTTTCAGCTGGGGCAAAGTCTTCACCACCGATTCGGAATACACTTTCCCATGGAATGTTGTTCAAACCAATCAGGGCGACCCCCCAGGCAATGTCTTCGAGGTTCCGTTGGAAGCATCAGCCAATGTCTTCAAAGTTCCGGTGCAAGCATTAGCATGCGTATATAAGGCATTGCATGGCCTCTTAGTCTGGCGGAGGAGAAGTCAGCTGCAGATAGACATTCACTGGACTACACACTCATTTATAATAATCCCTTTCATTATCACACTGACATTGCATATCCAGTTGCAGTATCTTGCTTCCACAGTACCCTAACAGCACTTAAACCCATAACGTTTACTCATTGTTTTCATTGTCAATCATGTCTCGCTCTGAATCACGCACGATTTCTCATCCAATCCGAGTCTATTTCACCGGCAAAGCTGGCGCTGAAGTTCGTCATCCTTATGTGTTCCCTGACGTTGTTTGTGTCAACTACCTGACATGTTTCTTTAGGTTGCGGCTCTGCTCTCCAAGAACAAGGGCTTTATATCTCATCACGCATCGATCTCCACTTCTGGCATGAACGGTGGTGAAGACTTCGCTAACCCCATCAATGTGACTGCGTACGGCTCCACTGCCGAAGCATTGATCCCGCAACACATTTACTCAATGAGTTGCAAATTCATCGGTTCAAACGACAAACGTGATGATCATTTACATTTTGAAAACGCCCACCGCATCAACTGGGGCCCTACTGAGAATTTTCCGGAAAGTTTTCGTGACAGCTTGATGGACAAGGTCAGCATAGTCGCATTGGGTACAGTTGTTGCCCGTGATATCATCAAGGATCCTGTTTACAAGGGCAAGCCAACGGTAGTGGTGACCATGAAATCGACTGACTATGATCCCATCGTGAGCGACTCATTGTCTTGCAATCCGCATTCCCTCGACCGTTCCCATGACTGACGGCTCTCATTCTTTAGACCAAGGGGCCTGTCAGCTGGTTAATGAAACACTTCATTCCGCCGCTCCGAAACTTGGAGAAAGCTCAGAACCTCTGTCAATTGGGGAGGGAGCTCCAGTTGGTCGGGGTTTTCAAAGATTACGACACCAACAATCACATGTGGGAAATCGAAGTAAGTTTCATTTCCGAGGGATGCGATCATCACTATGGTTGATGATTGATTTTTGTATAGGTCAATGCGATCAGTGTCACCAGCGGTCACCTTACTGGTGCGGCCGCCAGCCCCACCAAGCCTGGAATGCCAAACGGTGGCCGAATCCCGCTGGGAAGGTGAGCTTTACTCGATCTGGAATTATCGCGGGCATTGCTGATTGCTTTGCCGGCAGGAAACGTGGTTTGGCTTCCAATGTCGCCAGTACGTCAACTAACGCTGTTGACGACAATGAATTCAAGCTCGATGATGTTGAATCCAGCCCGGGCAGACGTGTTGATGGTGCCATTGAGAACAGGCTCAATACCAACGCTGGGATTGAGAACAACGCTCTTGAGAAGGACAGTGCTGTGTTGGGCATGAGCAAGAGACTCCGTCGTTGGGAATAGGCGTGTCGCTCAAGCTTGGGGTGAACAAGTGCTCTCGACTGCGTGCGGTGCCGTTACAAGTTGTCAATTGTGTTTGCGCTTTTGTAATCCCTTCTGCATCTATTTATCTCTATCTGTTTGTTCCCTTGCTTGGTGAGGTTAGTCACATTCCTGCAATCAACGTTCCATCACAACATCTCAACCGTTCCACTCATTAGATTTATTGGTGTTCTTCCACCTCTTGAGTTGTACCGTCCGAGGCGGTCCTTTATATGTAGTCTTTGAATTCCAAAATCAAATTGAATTGATACATTTGTTATTCGTTGGGTTAGCGTGCAATTGTGTTTTATGCCAGGGAGAATTCGGCAACAATGCTTAAATATCAGTCGAGGTCCTCATTGAAGCTTTGCAACGGTCATAAGTCAGCGGCTATTATTGCCAATGTTGTCAGTCTTCTGCGGTAGGAGTAAAAAACCTTATTGACTTCATGCATTGCCACTTATAGCCGCAAGACCCCAATTATAGACATTGGGTGTTCCGCTTCACGTTCTCCGCCACAACTTCACTCAACTCGGTCACTGCCTGTGGATCAATAGCTGGAAACCCTTGCAGAGACAAATTATCGGTAATCATCATACCCCACATGGTGATGCTCAGTGAAAAACTTTGACGAGATTTATGCAATCTGTTCAACTTAGTCCCGACAGAAATGCTGAAAATTCTTGGGAGTTACTTATGAACGCACATTGGCTCGAGACTCGAGTACAGAAAATATGAAAGTGGCACACTAGGTGCCGCGTGGGATGGATATTTGTTGGCCAAGTGAGACCCACGTCCATGCGTGGCCCAATGCCATTGCTCACCGGGAGTCTCCGTTTTTGTACCGGTATTGGAGGGTGAGACATTGGAAAATTTTAAACACAAACTGATTGGTCAGACTCAAGGCCTACATCAAGTTGTTCACGATTTATCGTCCTTTGTTAGAATAGACAACTCACATCCTGCTTCTATCGACATCTTGACATTACGAACGCAAAGCGGATCGTAACGCTGAAGATATCAAACGACCGAGAAACCTCACAACTGTAACTTGGACTCTCTGCTTCGCGCTTCCCAGCGATTTGACATACCACGGAGTGACTGCCATGGGCAAACGAGCAGTGCGACCACGAACTCTCCATCAAGCACCGATTCAAGTCAGAGATCCCCCACTCGCTCGGTGTTTGCGATCAGCTTTGTGCCAGTTGTAATGCTTCCCATTGGAAGGGAGAAAAATATCGGACTACTGCGGTTGCAGGAGGATTGGCGTACTCGATATGCTGTCAGGGTGGCAAGGTCGAGCTACCTGAACATTACTTTGATTTCCCACCGGCTCCTCAGTTCATTATCGATCTGTTGACTCTGAACACACCGCGTGCGTTGTTTGTGGCTAGCTTTTTATCAGCCGGGCGTAGCTGACTATATGCCACTCATAGAAGCGGAACACTTTCGTAGTCATATCCGTGGCTACAACAATGCGTTGAGCTTTACTTCATTGGGAGCTGAGATTGATCAATCGGTCAATGGCCCCTACGGCATTCGATGCTTCAAGATTGATGGGGAATTATATCATGATCTCGGTACAATAATGCAGCCCGCCAAAGGCAAGGCTGCATTTGCGCAGATTTATATGATGGACGCCGCACCAGCGGCTGAGGCTTTACACAGGGTCAAGGTCTCATGATCCCCCATAGATCCTAAGCTGGTGGAACTATTCATGAGATTTATGTACAAGTATAATCCCTACGCACAGCAATTTAAACACGCGGGCAACATCATGAAGGAATACAAGACAATCTCGCTGAGACTCAAATCAATTCCGGCAACAGCAGAGAACTCAGCCGGCCATGACATCCGGACTTACGCACGACCATCAGCTACAGAGGTTGCGATGGTGATTCGCGGTGGTGGTGACGTAGGCGAGGGTGATAGGGATATAATCTTGCACAGTAATGATGGGAAGTTTAAGCGGATTTTGGAGTTGCACACTGGATATCTCCCCTTGAGATACCCAATTCTGTTTCCCTTTGGTCAGGCAGGATATGATGAATATTATTGTGTCCCCAGTGAGTGCATCCCCTTTGCGCGATTGAATACATTGGTGCTGATGTGCTATTTTAATGACACTCTGTTGGGCGATAATTACCAGGTACTGGAAAGACGGTGTCAACTCTGCAATGGTTTGCTTATCTGCTCTTCCAACGCGCGCAAGAATTTTCAATCGTCCTATTGTCCCACATGCTACTCCAGGAGTTGTGTACGGATCTCTACGCCTGCATTGAAAATCAAAGACTCACTTGGTTCCGATTTCATCAACAAGAAATACGAGCTGAATTGTACTCAGGCGCAGTAGAAGCATTAGGCCGCAATGATTTTAAATAGATCGGTAGACCAGTCATACTTCCCGCGTCTCATACCGGAGGTGCAAGGCACATGGTGCAAATTTACCATGACGCTATGGCGTTAGTGCAACATTATGGCCAGCCGACGTTTTTCATTACAATGACAGCCAATGACGACTGGAAGGAAGTACAAGACGAGCTCCAATACGGTCAAACTGCAATCAATAGACCTGATATTTTAGTTAGGGTTTTTCAATTGAAGTTGCAGGACTTAATGGAGGATATAAATCATAAGGAACGACTGGGACCTGGAATTTTGCATGTCCATACCATTGAGTTTCAGAACTGTGGCCGCCCACATGCACACTTCATACCAATTATGGCAGCTGGTGGTGCTCCTCGAACTCCAGATAATATTGACTTGGTGGTCAGGGCTGAGATTCCCGATAGGGTGAAAGAACCTGACCTATACAAGGCGGTGACAAATTTCATGCTGCACGGTCCGTGCAAGGAAGGTAGTCCGTGTTGGAAAACCGACAGATGTCGTTTCGATTATCCAAAGCCGTTCAATGAGCATACCACTATGACGGATGACGCCTATCCGACATATCGACGCTCCGACAACGGTGTAACCTTCACCAAGAATGGCTATACATCTACCAATCAAGACGTAGTGCCTTATAATCCGTATTTATTAATGAAATATAACTGTCATATCAATGTTGAGGTAGCTGTCAGTATGCAAGCTCTCAAGTACCTTTATAAGTACATTACAAAGGGACATGACAGGGCTGCGTTGTCAATGGTTGCAAAAATGAGCTGGATGTCCACATAAATGGACGCAGTTTAACTGGCACCGAAGGTTACTTTCCATCTCCATCCAACGGATAGAAATGTGATCTAACCTGAGTTCTTAGGTTGTTGGAGATTGTTCCAATTCTTACTGTCATCAAGATATCCGGCGGTTTTTCGACTACCTCTTCATCTGCCTTTTGATAACGTTTTGTACTTTAACTGCACGGAGACGCTGCATCGCCAAATCGACTCTGGCAGAGCAGCACGGTCGCCCTTGACTGAGTTCTTCGAAATGTGCAAGAATAAAGTGAAGTTCCAAAGATCAATTCGACAATCAACACTCTCACGTACCCTGAAATTGTGAAGTATTTCAGTTGGGTTAAAAAAACCAACCACTGGAAAATCAGGACGAAGGATTGGAAGACTATCTCAAGAGTTTATTTTGCCAGCATGTCGCAGGGAGAAAGGTTTTATCTGAGGTTGCTGCTATTTCATGTACCGGGTCCAGAATCATTCGAACACCTCAGGACTGTTGATGGTGTCATCTATCCCACATTCAACGAGGCTGCCAGGGCCCACGGATTGCTTCTGGACGACAATCATTACATAGCGGCTAGGAAAGAATGTGCATTGGTTCAGAGTGCATATCAACTACGCTCGATGTTTGCCCTTATTCTCAAATTCGGCCCTCCGAGCAATCCTCTGCGATTGTGGGAAATGTTTTCGGTCTTGCTCTCTGATGACTGTCGGCATTCTATGTTGAAGGTTCAACCGCGGCAAGAACCAACCTCCGCGATGGTGCTTATCCATTCACCACTTGCCACGTTAGAGGTGGTGTGAATGATGAGAGTTGGTCTCGACAGCCTCTCAGGTCTTATGTCGAGCCACAACTGGTGGGAACTATCTCCACCCGAAAGTTGCCTCCCTTACATTCCGTGTTAAGGAGGCAGGTTACGGGGGGTGAGACGGCCCCGGCCACGGGGGGGGCTTGGTTTTCGGGAACCAAGGCCTTGGTGTGGCTGGGGTCCTCCCCCGGCCCACCCGCCCCCCTGAAAGTGCACACCTGGGTTGGACTCTGTGCCCGGAGAGACGCCTAATCCTCAGGAGCTCGCTGCGGCGCCCTGAGCCCCCGGGCACAGACCACCCAACACGCCGTGCGAGTGACCCGCACCTGGGCCGTCTACCATCTTTTTAAGGTTTTGGCCGATCAATTCATCACGCTTCCTCGTTCTTCTCAATTTAATTTCAGTCCTGTTCACTCTGCCAGTACAAGTCAGTGTATCTACGCATTCATCTAAAAACGTCTCCCTGCTGTACCCTCCGAGCTTTCTACTGCTTTAAACTATCACTCCACCTAATTCTCTTCGATCTGCTCGACGTATTGGTGTTCTGGTTTCCTGGCCAAGAAGTATCTTCTATCGCACCTAAGAATTCCGCCGTGTCTCTCACGTCCTCTGGCTTGTAAGGTTTGAGGTATCATAGGTAAGTCATCGATGTCCATCGTCCCTGTCTTGCAATTGATTCTGCGCTGCTTCCCAAGTTGAATCTGAGCGATGCTCCCCCTACTCTAAAGGAGTGGCTGCTCCATGTCTCGACACTAGCTTTCCCCCAAATCTTTGACACCCCGTTCAGGAATCTAGCTTTCGATAATGGGCCTTCTTGCGTCGCAAATAACACGCCATCAGGGTCGCCATTTGGTTGTTTTTCCAGAAGACGTCTTATTGCCTCTACCGGGTCCAGGACGTTTAGTTGCTGTTGTAAGTGTATCACCTGTATCTCTCCTGGCTTTGCGGTCTTTGCTTTTCTAAGGTGTAGCCTAACAAAATTTCTTCCTCTCTTTGATCC